AATCAAAAAATAAAATGAAATAAAAGGATAAAATAATAAAAATAAATTTAAACTTGCCACCAGCAAATAAGACCGCAGCAGGATTTAAAGTAGTATCAGTAGTTAAAAGTTTCTTTGTAAGTTCATATGCTCCAAAATAGGCAGCAGATCCTGGACCATCTCGGAGCAACGTAGCACCAGTTCCACGAAAAATACTACTTAAACCACCTTCCTTATAAAGATGACGTATTACATCGAGAGGACCTTTGTATTTAATTTCACCACCTTGACCCTGAATTTGTAATAACACTTTAACCCTTTCAACTGGTGCCATTACTAATGTGGTTGGACCGGCGGATAAACCACCGGCAATTGTATATTCAAGCAAACTTAGTTCTTGTGATTTACGATTTGGTGTAAAAGCGTATACGATATTTTTACTAAGATTATAAGACTGTATTAAAGTTGTAATAAATATAATCGGTAAAATAGATTAAAAAAATTCCGATTATTAATTACGCTAACCCACCCAAAAGCTTATCGCAAAGATCGGGGTTATACCGGCTAACGGAGGTCCCATGCCACGATATAAACTAGATCAACATAAGAATATTAATGATAAACTGATTATAGAACAAGATTGACAATGTAACTCACCCACGTAGTCCATCATTTGCGATCGTTTTTTTTACGACATCAACCATTCCATTATAAGTCCCCGGAGATGCGGTTTGTAATCGTACCTAATTTTCAATATAATTTTTTATATAAACTTTTTATTTAAGACTATAAAACAAATATGATACAAACCTTGACCAAATCGAATGGATGCCCTAATTGAAAAAAATATATTTGGGTGATTGTAAATAATATTTAAGCGTTTTGTATCTTTACACCGATATTTGATATATACCAACAAGCACACACGCTACTCCTCCAAACCCTCCTGCCAGAAATGACTTTACACCACTTGTAGTCCCTTTTTTTTCAGCCTCTTTGGGCTCCTGTGGTTCAAGGTGTTCAATCTCTACATTAGTGGTTGAAACGTCTGTTGACATGGCTTCTGAACTTTTAAAACTCTTGTAAAAAAAAAAAAAAAAAAAAAATCAATCGTGTAACTTAAATGTTTATTGAAATAAAGTTAACGTTCGTACATATGATACCATGTGTATCTGTGTATCGCAATTTCAGGTTTTTCTTTTGTACAGTAGCACAAATTTTACATGAACCTATTAAAAGTATTCTTTCTTTTAATGTTAACGTTAAGTGTTACCGTTATCACTATAAGTTATCATTAAATAAATCCTGTAACTATAAAATTGCTATATTTATTCTTTTTCTTTATACTTTCGTGTTCCTTGCTTTATCATAGTCTCTCTATTTACTTTCGTGTTTCTTACCTTCACCACTTTGGATTCAATTCGCCGGATATTAAAACAAATGGTGCTTGACAATGTTTGCTCAGAAAATATATAAGTATGGGTTTTAAAATTTTCTCGAAAAAAAAAAGAAAATCTATAAATGAGCATATTTTCGTGAAATAACGCGTTATTTAATAAAATTCGGTATACAGCTTAATTTTCGGCATAAAAAATATACTATTTTTGAATGAAAAAATTTCCAAAATAATGCCATGCGAAATAAGTATTAAGAATCTTTCTACACATTGAAATTTATTGTGAATTTTCCACAATCTTCATCAGCTCTTAGAATAATCTTTTCTAAAGCTTAGATCCGTTATTGGGGTGTTCCACATCCTATGATTTACAAACGTAGTGCAGCCTATATGATTGGAAAAACGTTCTAACTTCTAGCAAATTCAATTCTGTAACTTGTAAATGATATACTGAAATCGTAGTATGTGAAAACATTTTTATAGCCAAATTTCTCGTGATCTAATAATCGGATCTATCTAATTTTGGTACCATTCGAATCAACTTATCGTTATCAAAACGATTCGAATGGTACCAAAATTACAGAATTATGCAGATCCGATTATTAGATCACGAGAATTTTGGCTATAAAAATTGCTCCGAGGGGGTGCTTAATTTCGGAAGTATACGGTAATTGGAACGGCCTTAGTTGATTTACCACCCTAGTAAAGTACGTGGTAAAATCAAGGAATTTGGCACCAAATGCCTTTAATATTTCCTGATTTTGGTGCAGATTATCGAAACAATCGAACTTCCAATAGGTATAGCATGAATTTCGTTAAATGGTAGAATCATATCTATCGACTATAGGCAAGATTTCTATTTTTTTTTATTTATTATTTTTGGGTTTAGATAGCATTTTACTATTACTATGCTATTTTTTTGCAAGCATAATATAATAATCGAGTTTTTTTTTAAACCTGTAGTAAAAATTTGACGCGTTTGTATTTGACTGGATCAATTAACCTCTTTCAAATTCATTTTATGATTTCCTATTGATTAAACTTTACATCAATTCTCTGATATTCAACTTTTAAAAAAGTAATCATATCGATATAGAAAAAAGAATACATAAATTGCCGACCAAGATTACTAGTTTGATATGTAAGGTCACGTGGACGGACAGTTTGCGTAGAAGTATAAAGTCCTCTGCTTCGTTCCGGACTAATAAACAATCAGCTTTGGCATTCTAAAAATTAAATCAAGTTTATTGTATAATATTAATAATAGCCTTTTTCATTTTTGACACATCTTTACCTGTTAATGTTCTAATGTTTCTATAAATTTCGATGGTCGCTTCTTTCCAGTTATATCTAAGTAATGGTCAACCTTGGGTGGTTTGCTATATATTGGTTCATGGATGCCTTTAATGATGATTTGAAATGTTAAAACATATCAGGATTATTTTGCGTTGTTTTTAAGTTGAGAAGAATTACTAAAAATTTACCTAATCGATTATAAATCGAACTAACATCTTTATCCCAAACTTCACGAAAAAATGTCACACCACGTAACTTCAAATTATATTGGCTTGCAAAATCGCGAACGTTCATTGATAGATCCATTCTGGTCGTTTCGATTTTTCCATCAGGCTGTTCAAAAACGCCTAAGGTGTATCTATGATATTTAGTGCCCTTAGGTGGATGTGGTGGTATGTACTGTAAGATTTCAGTTCCACCGGAGATATCAGTTTTTGTAGCACTGATAGGAATATTTGTTCTAATAAACGCATTATTAATCTATGTGATTTATATAATTATGGGAACAAGGCAGTGTAATTTAAGTTGCCTACATTAGCCAATGCCATTGTGTTTGAAAACTTTTATTTGCTACATCTGGCATATCTATAATAATAGGTAATAGCAAGTTTAATGTAAATTATCACACTAAGTAACGTCAGTAACATCTTACTCACCTGGATCTACCATAATGAGAGTGTATAAGCAGGTTTCTATATGGAAACTATTCATAATAATTGTAGGTGGGTTTATCGTCTAAGTAAAAACTTGATTCATTAAATTTAAACGTTTCTAGTTTGAAAAGGACTAAGTTATTAAGAAGTTATTAAGAAAATATCAGAATACTCTTATAGGCCGTTGAAAACATCCAGGTTCAACGAATTCTTCACCAAATTTTAATTCAAGGCACATTGTAGGTTCCAAATCCGGAAATACGTCTGGTACAACATACATTTGTGTTATACGTTCCACCTAATATTAAATAAGCTAATTACGATTTACATTAAGAAATTGTAGATTATATACGTAGTAATAAGTGAATACCAATTTTGGAAGGGGACCAGATTTCCAATGTTTTTCTTTCAAATAACGATAAACAGGTACAGACATATCGACTATTATGAATATAAATAAGTCTGATTCGCAATCATTCGTTATAATTATTTAACGAATAATAGTTACCTATATCATTTTTGAATCTCCATCGAACCTCTGGATCGTTTACTTCAGCTAGTGCCTGCAAATTATGTTTTTTTTTGTAGAGTAAATCCAATTCTTGGGTGATCTCGTCATTTCGTTCCGTTGCTAGAGGATTATTGAAAAAAAAATTATAGAACCAACTTTTTAAAAAACATATGTATTATCATGAGCTAAACCTTTTGAAAGTTTATTTATTTGTTCATCGATCTGTTTTATTTGCTGATATTTATTTTCTTTGTCTTGAAGGATATATTTAAGTGCTTCATCGTAAGCGTGGTTAATTCCCAAGACAATTGGTTTGTATTTTTTTACATCTATATTTTCCTTTGTTACCGAGTCGTCGGAAAATTGAACAGCTTCTATCAATGGTCTTGAGGTCGACTTGTCTGTTTTTAAAGCTCGAAAGCTGATAAAAGAATTTGGTAACTGATGCATAGAAAATAATTTTAGATATATACAGTCGACTCTGTATATAACAAACCTTTCTATAACGAACTCAAAATTTCAAATTTTATAATAAGTTCAGTATAAAAGTGCTATGGGCTTTTAAGAAATGTAGTAATTTTTGTATAACTTTTTTTCTCAGTTCATTATAGAAAGAGTTGATTATACATATTAATTGGATTTAAAATTTTAAATTAGACTAAAAAACTGTTACCGTGCGAGATTGTATAGGCAGAGTAGTTATTATCGCGCGCCTCGCTTGTTGAAGCAACATATTTGAATTTAAATTAAATCAGCGATCTGGTATAATGTATGTAATGTATGATAAAAAATCGTGTAACATTGATTCAAATCACCAATAAAATAATAGACTTGCTTTATGATCGTTATTAATTAAAGATGATTCGTCGTAACCCTACACGTTTAGAAATTCGTCAAGAGAACGTCGAACAACTTCAACTTCTTCGACAGAAATATAAAAAAAAACTTTCACAAAAACCTGGAGCAAGTGCTAAAGGTAAAAGAAAAAGTATGGAAATTGAAGAGGAGGTAGAAACAAATTTAAACCTTCAACAAACAGATCAAGAACAAGAACCAATTGTGGGTGCAGAAGAACTTCGAAATCGAAGTAATAATATGTAAAATTAACATAATTTCCATATGCTGATATTTAGTTTGCACAATTATTTACTGTTTAATAGGAAACGGTAGTGATCCTAACTGATAACTAAAAAATCGACTTAGTCGATTTTTCTATCTGGTAGGTCGAATTTTTTTCAAAAATAGTTGGTTGATTTATATGTAAGAAATAAATATACCATGGCGATAACAAGTTACTCCCGTTATAATGAACTTTTGATTAGGAAAGTAATAATCAAACTTGATAGTGAAGTTAGGCTCAAAGCCAAGCTATATAAATTCTCTTGATATAGTTAATTACTAATAAATCTCGTTTATAATATTCTTATTACGTAATTAAGATTATGATTCACAATCGCCACTCAAAAAAATTTCAGATCATGTGATTTAAAGAGATTGACCAATCAGAATCGATTTATAAATTGATTTTTTAAATTTTTTAAATTTTTTAAATTTCGATCAAGATAGCATATCAACTACCTAACTAAATCCGATGAATTTTTTTTTAATTTTACATGTTTTCAGATTTAAATAAAAAAAATATCATCGAATTTTATAAGGTAGTTGTTAAGAAAACTTCATTCAAAGTCTTGAAAATTTTGGTGCAGTAGTTTTGTATATAGTGAATGAAAAATATTGATTTTTATTCAATATAAATCGATATTTTTAGGCCAAATCATAGGAAAATCGATATTTTTGCAATTTTTAATGTAGTGTAACAATATAACAATACCACTATAAGCAAAATTAAGATTATTATTTGAGCTAAGTAATATAAATTTAGCTAATCTAAATTGTTAGTAAGTTTCAAAAAAGTAGATAATCAATAATCAAAAAACTAGTCAAAAAAACTCTTTCTGACGATCCTTTTTTCCAAAATTCGGAAAAGCAAAAAAACAAAAATTTTATTGTGGATGATGAAGAAGTTCCTTTTACAAC